TCTATTTGAAAACCGCTCTTAAAGGCGAGGCAAGGAGTATAGCTGCTCACTTGCTGTCAGGTTCTGCCGAAAATTATAATACCGCCTGGAAACTATTAACCAAGCGGATTCCTGAGCTTCTTACGCAGCGCAAGTTTGTTTCAGTAGACTGCCACGCCCACTCTAACGCCCACAAACCGCCAAAAACTGTGGCTCCTACAGTTTTGATGCTAGAATAAAAATTTTAGCATAAGTGTATTCTTCTCATCAATACCTATCGAGTGACCCAAAAAAAAAATTGCCACGCCCACTCTAACGCCCACAAACCGCCCAAACCTGTGACGGCCACAGTTTTCATGCTAGATAAAAAATTTTAACTGAAATGTATTGGTCTCGTCAATACCTATCGATTGATCCAAAAAAAATTTTGCCACGCCCACTCTAACGCCCATAACGCTAGAATCTGTCTACCGCCGATAGGTGGCGTATTTAAATCTCGATTTGCATATCTCCATTTCCCTTTGGTCCCTTTAGCTGAGTAACGCGTATCTGATAGTCGAGGTACTCGACTATAGCGTTCTTCCTTGTTTTCTCTCACATTATTATCCGAAAATTTAATAGAGAAGCGCTTAAATTATATGAAACGCATATAAAACAAGAAAGGAAGTTAACTTCGGCAAGCCGAAGTTTGAATACCCTTGCAGTTATAAAAAATAATCAATGTTAGTAACACTATGTTACATTTTAAGGATTGTTGCTAGCTTCAGTGGTATTAAAACAATTAAACGTACTCAGCCCCCACACCACGTCAAGGTCACAATCCACGAGGGGGAAAATATTATCAAATATTAGCTCTTGTGAACTTTATTGGGGGCATTGGTTGTGCAATCGATCATTTTTAATAAATCTGTGTCATCTGTCAGTAAATATATCTGGTTTTTAAATACATTAATTGGAGCTTCTACCGAAAATATGAGATTGTGTGACGAGCTTTCGTCGCTATGGACTGATCCTGAGGAACTGATTGAATCAATTTCAGCGGAGGCTCCGGGCTAACGCATCCGCTACTACATTAGCTACGCCAGGCTTGTACCTGATCTCGTGATTATACTCGCCAATTAGATCTCTCCAACGTTTTAGCTTAGCGTTAGGACTATTTACGCTATTTGAAAAACTCAGAGGTTGGTGATCCGTGTATATTATCACCTTCGAATACCCGTAAAGGTAATGTCTTAGGCTTTGGAGAGCCCATACTATAGCAAGCATCTCTCTTTCGTTGGTTGCATAGTTCTCCTCAGTTTTTGACAGGGTGCGCGAATTGAACGTTATTGGCCTATGACTTTGTTCCAATACCGCGCCTATTGCGTAGCTTGAAGCATCGGTAGTCGGCTGGAATTATTTTCCAAAATCTGGAGACAAGGGTGTTCTTAAGTTTCTCGAATGCTGTAATCGCGTCTTTGCTCAGGTTAATAGCATTCTGCTTGACTTGGTCTTAGATATACGGCCTTCTTCGCCTCTTAGGAGGATGGTTAAAGGTCTTGCTATTTTTGCATAGTCTTTTATGAACCGACTATAATAACCTGTCATGCCCAGAAAAGAACGGAGATCTTTTTGATCTTTTCGGGGCTTTAAACTTTATTTTCTGATATTGTATACCCCAAGAAATCTACTTCGTTTTTGAAAAAATGGCATTTCTCTACTTGGACTCGCATGTTTGCGTTTTGTAGGGTTGAAAATACCTTTTCAAGATTTTGACCGTGGTCTACTTCATTTTTGCTAAAGACTAAGATGTCGTCCACGTATACATAGCCAATTTTCCATATGTATTCTCTCAGAAGGTCGTCTAAAGCTCTTTGAAATGGACGGGAAATTTTTTAAACCAAACGAAAGTCTGTTTTTTATATGTCCGTGTCTTTCAATGGTATTTGGTGAAAACCACTCTTGAGGTCTAATATCGAAAAAAACTTGTTGTCTCCGAGTTGCGCAATGATTTCGCCAATTTCGGGGATCGGGTACCGATCTGAGATAGTGACTTCGTTGAGTTTTCTATAATCGATTACTAATCTGTACTTTTTTTCTTCTGACTGACTGGATTTTTTCGGGACTACCCAGACGGTGCATTATATGGTGATCTTGAAGGTCTTATAATGCCATCTTTTAGCATCTCATTTATTTGTTTTTCTACTTCCTGTTTTAATGATATTGGGTATGGGTAGTGTTTTCCGTAAACTGGGGAACAGGACGAAGTTCTGATCTCGCCTACTACTTTAGTTGTGTATGCTAAATTCGTGTCGGGATCTGCAAAGAGGGTTTTGTGCCTTTGTATAAGGAGATTTACTATTGGTATCTGAGACTCGGTCATATGGCTGACTTGCGGTCCAATTGTACTTACCGCTTGTGTTGCTAATTGGTGAATTTTAATTGTGCGTTCATTTCCAAGAATTAATGTATCGTTCTGTACATCTATAATTGCTCCTAGACTTTTCTTTGTGTCATTGACCAGTATCCTGGGGAAGGTTTTTAAAGTCTCTAGTAAATAAAATTTCATGGGTGTATCTGAAATGTTGGGGAGCTTAAGTATTGCATATTGTGTTATTTTAGTGGTACCTCCAACTGAGCTGACGAAAAGATGTTTCTCATTTTGTTTTGGTTATTGTACTAATTGGTTTTGAATATAATTTTGATTTGAGCCCGTGTCTATTTAACATTTTTTTTCCGTTCCCCGTAGTTACTTTAAAGTAATGTAATGAGGAATGATTTACTCTAAAAAATGAAGCTCTGACATATCTATGTATTCCTGTTGCTCACGCCACTGCACTGGCCTGGTTTGAAAGGGTTGGTTATAAGATCTGAATTGGTTAGTCTGAGTAGCTGGGGTTGTTCCGATGGTTTGGGTTATGATAGAGTTGTGGATGGAAGTTTTGTTTGACGGGTACCGTCCTATTTGGCTCTTGGAGTCTGGGTGGTAGCATAGGTGCCCTCCCTAAGTATGGATTTTTGGTGTCTGACTATTTCTTGTATTTTGGTTCTCAAGTAGAGTGTACAGATGTAGGGCATGTCCTAAATCATGCGGCTCTTTAATGGCCAGTAATTGTGCCAAGTTTCCGTTAAGGCCTCTGACGAAGGTGTCCAAGGCTTTTTCTCTGTACATGGCTGTCAGAGACTGCACAGTTTCTTGTGAGCCATCTAAGCTTCCAATTTGGTTTAGAATTAGTGACAACTGTTGGTACACTGCCTGATAATAATCAACTATACTATCGCTACCTTGATTAAGAGCATAGAGCTGATATTCCAAAGTTTTTAGGTCACGTTTGCGCTGCTAGGCATTTTGAAATTGCTGTCCAATCTAAGGGGGTATTATACGATTCTAACACTGCGTCCGGATAGCTAAAAGAATTCCATAATTTTTTGGGGAGCCAATTCTAAGTTCGTAAATTTGTAACACCATTTCGACACTTTTCTTCCATGACGAATATTCACTTTTGTTTCCTGAAAAATCTCTAAGTGTCCGCACGATGTCTGGTAATTTATCTAAGTCACTAAGATTGTGCGCTAATACTCTTTTAATTGTTTGGTCTGTATACTTAGAAAAATCTTTATTGGGATTAAGTATTTCTTTTACTAGGCTACTAGGGTTTGCTTCTAGTACTGTTTTTATTTTTTCCTCGATGTCCCTCTCGGTCATGATTCGCGTGTTTGTTTGTACGTTACTAACTGACGAAGGTGTGGCAAGACTCGCGAGTCTGTCTGCTAAATCTGGTTCGGCCATTTGGGATATATGTGCAATGAAGTTAAATTAAATTTTTAATTTTAATTTTAATTATTCAGAATTCTGAATTTTGTTGCCTTAAATAATTATAGTGCGGGTCTTTGCTTATGCAGTGGATTTTTTTTGTCGTGTGTGGATTTTTCTTAAAACTATAGCATGTGTTTTATACTTTCTATTTTTGAAATATTTTTTTTTTTATAAAAATTTGGTGTTTTTGATGAGTTCCTTAAAACTATTCTTACATTAATAGCATTTCTCGGCGTTCTCTCGTGTTGGCAGGCTCGACAGATTCCTGTTTATCCCACGCTGCAGCGATCTCTCTTGAGTACGGATTTACAAGGGGCCTCCTCTGCACTTTTTACACGTTCCCTCCGAACGGATACTAGAGGGATAACGGCGATTAATTTTTTTGGCCTGATTTGTCCGCTGGATACAAGTCCTGTTCTTAGGAGTGACAATATTGTGTGGCACTTTTGCACTTCCGGGTCTCGGGTTTTTCTTCTCACTTCTCACGGATTAGGCGGAGGTTTGAACGAAACGTCGAATGTTTCGAACTGCACGAAACGCGGTACTTGTTATCCTTCGCGGCTTTTAATCAGGGCCTATTCGGGCGTCAGTTAAAAGCTTGATTATTATTTTGATATAAAAAAATATCAAACTTCTCTTTATTGAGTTGGATTAAGAACTGATTTTACTTAAGCTAAACAATTATTCATTATAACTACGCGTCGATCCATCGCTGCCACCGTTTCTGCCGTTGCTGCTGCTTCTGCCAACGTTCTTTATTGCCATTGGCTGCTGCTCTTCATCGCTGTCGCTGGTGACCAAATTTAGTTGTCATTGGCCAATGCATTTAAGTTATTGCTATTGTTGTATGCACGTGGCTGAGTTCGATCAACTTTGAAAATTGGCTATTCTGCATTCCCACGATCGCTAATCAAAAGGTGCAGGCCTAGCGCAAGTGGCTTGGCTCATGTGGACTTTATTGGAGGCATTGGCTGTGCAATCAATGCTTACTTCTACTTCTGTCAACTTTGGCTAATCTGCATTCCCACGATCGCTAATCAAAAGGTGCAAGCTCAGCGCACGTGGCTTAGCTCTTGTGAAGTTTATTGGGGGCATTGATTGTGCAATCGATGCTTACTTCTAATCGGTCTGGGTCTTTATATTATTTTGGGTGTTAACTTATATATATTTATATATTATATATTTTGAAAACTACGTTGATAGATAGAAATAAATAAATTAATAATACCATAAAAATACATATATACATTATGCTATACACAATTAATTATTCTTTCTAACCTATTACAATTTTTACAATTTATATATTTAATTATATTACCTACTCAAGATATACTTAAAAAAATTCCATCGTGGTAGCTATATGGTGTCTCATAAGTAATGGCAAGAGCTTGTGGAATTCGAGAATCTGAAAATATCCAATCAATTTGTGTTATTTGTTTTGTTGTGGGAGAATGATTGATTGAAAAGAGGTAATAGGCATTCAAGTGTTCCTCCAGAATATCAGTCCCTGTGGATCTGCAAATATTAAAATCTCCTAACATTACTACTTTAGTACTATCCATTCTACGCACTTTTTCCACATCAGCTTTAATTTCATTTCGAAATCTTGCAATAGGAAATCCGGGACTCCTATAAAGAATTATAAATGACGTGTAAGATATTTAAATGCAATCGATTGATACGTTGCCCTTGTGTTTGTGGACTTCTTTGTCTCAAACTGAAATAATACATTTTGCGAAATGTTTTGCTAAGCATAAATAAGTATTCCGTTCTTCCCAATACCATTCAAACAATTGCAATCTATTCTTCTTATAATGTCGAAAGCCCTTAAAGTGTACTCTTCTTGTGGAAGAGTCCAGGTTTGAACAAAACATAAAAAGTTGGCAGAACAAATAATGCTGTCGTTAGCAACATCTTCGCGATGACCGCGAAGAGATTCTACGTTGTGGTAATATAAAGAGATATCCAAATTTTCATTGACCAAAAATTCATAATGCGTAGTCAAAGCCTTTTCCCCTCTTAAACGTTCAAGTTCTACTTGGACATTTGTAGCTCCAAATCTAGTTGGAGGGACAAAGTCTCCTGAAAGGAAAAGACCCGATGCTCTGCTGCAACCTACGTACAACGAAGCTCGCTTAATGCCTCTTTTAAAATGCACTGCGACTTTGCTGTAGGTTGCTTCTTGGTTCTTATGGATGGTAATAGCCTCAGCAGGAACAACTGGAAATTGTTTTCGATCAATAGAAGAATGTCCCGAATTTCCGCATTGGAATACTCGGGCTGTTTTATAAATTGGAGTCCAGTCTGGGTGATCATTTCCTCGAACTTTTGGCCTAGCTATAGTACCGACAGTGGCATCTGTAAACTTAATCCACAGTCCAGTAACTAATAATGAGCCGTTAACCATACAGTTGTCAATTCGCATTAATTGACCAGTTGCCCCATTTACAAGTCCATCATTTGTGTATAGGACCGACAGTGGCATCTGTAAACTTAATCCACAGTCCAGTAACTAATAATGAGCCGTTAACCATACAGTTGTCAATTCGCATTAATTGACCAGTTGCCCCATTTACAAGTCCATCATTTGTGTATAGTACCGACAGTGGCATCTGTAAACTTAATCCACAGTCCAGTAACTAATAATGAGCCGTTAACCATACAGTTGTCAATTCGCATTAATTGACCAGTTGCCCCATTTACAAGTCCATCATTTGTGTCAATATTGACGGTAACCATATATTTTGCAGTAGTCTTCAGGTGTAAAATATATGGTAGACCCTGAGTTTCAGAGATCTTCATGTTTTGGGCATGCCTAAGAGTTGATTCTCGACTTCTTTCAGACATATTAGCTGACTTAATTGTATCTACTGCAGTCTACACAAAATCTTCAGTTCTAATTTGGGCAAGTTTTAGGGAGTTGTAATGGTTTACATCAGCATTAGAACAGAATAAGTGAATTGCATCGTCAGGAACATCGGTTACTGGAAGAACTCTTGTCCTGAAAAGCTCAATATCTGCATTTGTCATGTTGGCTTCAGACATATTATTCAAAGCTAAAGCAAAAGCGTGGTCGTCACGTTGCCGCATTATTTCCGTTAGCGCGAAAAACTTAAAGTTATTCCAAGGGTTAGCTCCTGCCAGAATATTATAGGGATTAGAGGTATTTTCTGGGAATATCCAACGATCTCCAACTGGGCTAAGCTGCTTCAGATCTCCAAACACTATTATAGACTTGCCCCCAAAACTTACATCTTGACTTCTAAAAATTTTACAAAGTCAAGTCAAAGTCAAAGCATTTTTGATCCGACCATCGAGATCTCATCTATAATAATTAATTGGATATCAATCAACTTGCAATGCATTGTCCCCCAATCCCAAAAGCTGCTTTTCCAGTAGGAGCACAAAGTAAAACCCTTGCGGAATCTGTTGCCCCAGGAAGTATATTTGCTCGCCAAGTTATAGACTAAAATATTGTAGAAATCAATCTGCTTTTTCCCACTCCGGCCCCTCCACCAACATATTCATAAAATGTTTTTTTGGCTGCAACATTATACATTACGTGGACGTAATACTGGCGTTGCTTAAAGTTGAGAGACCGGGTACGCGAGCAAAGGTTATCATCAGATACCATCGGAGGAAGTCTTATAAGAGGAAGTTCGCCATTTGAATCATTTTCATCTTGGAGTACATTTACGTTTGGGCCGACGTCGGGTACTGCCAAAGCTCTGAACTCTTCTTCAAGGTATTGAGATGCTGGCCCTTCGGGAAAAGGGCCGTTTTCTTCTCTATCTACATTTTGCAGATCTTGAAGAACTCTTTCTAAATCCATGTCGTTAAACACATCATACTGCGCTTTATTGCGTTTAATAATTTCAAAATTATTTCTAAATGCGCTTTCATTGTCGTTTGAAATGAGTTCTGTCTCTTCACCTCTCCATGGGAAAAAGAGCATTACGTGCTCTCTAAAATAATCTGATGGAGAAGAGCTTGAACTGAAGCGAATCCACCTAAGAATTAATGCATGACTACGTCATTTTACCCTACCAGTCCCATCCAGCAATTGGTAACTTTGTGCAGCAACGTTATTTTCTTCATCTGCATCAAAGTCGATTGGTTCGTCATATTCTTCGTTTGACTGTTCTGACCGTGCATTTAGCTTGGAGAATTTGAACTAAGCCGAAATTCCGCAAGTCATAACGATTCTAGTTGTTCATGTCTTTGCACGTATCGATCAAGTAAATTTCGCTCAAAAATATCTGTTGAGTATGCGGGAAGCTGTTCTAATTCTCTGTTAGATCGGACTATCCGGACCCTTTTATCTGGATGGCAAGTGTTAATAAAAACATTCCCTTCACTAGCCTCAGACAAGTACAAACCTAAAATGTTGTATGCAGCTTCTTGGGCAGATATTTCTGTAGCGTTAATAAACTTGCTCCCTAAATGCTGAAATTTTCTTTTGACGGAAACACTTCCATGGCTTATTTCTGTCATTGCTTCTCGAAGCAGTTGCGACACGCCACGGTTGGATTTATTTATGTAGTTAATTATATAACTACAACAGGCGTAAGCAAAATTATTAAACATGGCCGATTCTTCTTCGGAAACTGACTTTAGGAGCTCTTTAACTTTTTTAAATATTTCTTTATATTCTTCAACGTTGGATTCGTTTTCTTCAAATGGATACAAAACCAGAGTTTCAGGCATTGGTGGGTATGGCATATTAAAACGGCAGAATTGTTGTCCTCGCAGTTCCCTTAAACATGAAGCGCTGTGCTTATGGCGCTGGTAGTAATGAAACGATCAATAAAGCGGGTGACCTCTTCGGCGTTATCGGGTCCTTCTAGCTTTGGGGCACCAGAAAACCAATACATGCCATGAGAGTGCGGCGATCCTCTGTGCTGGAACTCGATCCTCCAATAATAATGGACGAGTCTTAACCCACCAAATATCTCGAAGCTTTTAAATAATTTCATTAATTGCCGGAACCTGTAGTCGAAGTACAGGGAGCACGTTACTGGGTCCGATCGAATTAATCTAGCTTTTTCTACTGCCTCTTCCTCAGTAATGTCTCTGCTATCCAATAAAAGAGATAGAATAACTAAGAGTTCGTTCCATTTAGATTCAGCAGCAGAGAGAGCATTTCATAAAATTTGTACATACATACATACAAAGTCCTTTGGGCACTACTGCGCAACGACGGTCGTAAAAGCGAATTTGCGATCTTGCTTTTTTTGCATAGGTCGAATTCCCCTTAAATATTTCGCCGCAAGAAATTGTTGGAAAGGAAAGTTCTTCTGCGTCGTCGTCAAGGGTTAAATTTGTTGGAATGCGGCCTTCTCCGGGAGCCATAGCAATACGCTGAAGTCCAATATCATCGTTTTCTAATAGGGTTTCATGACCTCCGGGATTTAAATCACCTTCTTGCGCGTCATTTGATTGAGAATGAGAATGTTGACGAAGAAGCTCTTCTACGACTTCTCGGTCAGATTCATCTGCGATGAAAGGTATCTCTTCTTCGGCTCCCATTTGATTGAGCCAATCACCGTCAAAGGAAATGTTGTGCTTTCTGTAGAGCTCAGTGTTAACCAAGTATCGCACAGCTTGAATAACCCGAGCGGGTCGAATAGTTTCCGTCATTAAATTATGGGAATATTCTAACCTTCTTTTTAAATGAACCTGGATTACATGGGTCGAATCAAAGGTGCGTGGGAGTACGCTTACAGTATCAGGTACTGAAATTGGAACATTGACTACAGCGCTTCTTATTCCGCATTGCCTTTCATATCCAAGGGATATAATGCGCATGAAGGGAATTCGAGGAGAAATAAGGCGCTCCTCAAGACATGTCAAGTTTTTAAGGCATTCAGGTATCTCTGGAAAGTCGAAGCCATTAGAGAGACAAAGGGATGGTATCCTACCTTTGGAAACGCCTTGACGACATGTACTGCAAAATTGATATTTGCCGGACGGACTCGGAAACTTTCTGCTTAAATAAAAGGCATTGTCTAGACTAAAATTGGGGTATTTAGAAGAAATAGTACGTATGTTCAAACCACTTACCTGAGATGGAAACCACGTTCCTCCGCAGCACGTACAAAACTTAGTTGGTCCGTCCTTAATGTTACGAAGATATTGTTCCCTTGCAGTAGCTCGACTCCTCCGTCGCTGGCGTTCCCGTTGATCCTCTCGTTCATCCTCTGAAAGTTGTGCTCTTGCAGCAATATTGCGCTGTGACTGTCTGGAAGATTCCGCCTGTCGATTTTGTGAACTCGACCTGTATGTGAGAAGTCGCTCGTCAGCCATTTCCTGAATTTGTTGCTCCCGAAATCTTTGCTGAAGTCTTGTGTTCCGATGATGCACTGTGTTGGTCCTTTGCTCCTGTGTCCTAGTGATATGGTTGTTCCTGGTGATCCTATGAGCTGCTGCGTCCCGTAAACGCTCGAGTCCTCTATTTTCCTCGATCGATCTCCAGGTAGCATGATCAGCAGTGTTTCGCGACTGCTCTCGTCGTCGGTCCTCGGAATCCGACCTGACTATTGCGTGCGCTACAGCGTCCCGTGCGCGCTCTGATTCTCGATTTTCCTCGATCGATCTCCACGTAACATGGTCAGTAGTATTTTGCACCTGCTGTCGTCGTCGCTCTTCGGAATTCGACCTGCCGCTTGCGTGCGCTGCAGCGTCCCGTGTGCGCTCGCGTCCTCGATTTTCCTCGATCGATCTCCAGGTAGCATGGTCAGCAGTGATTCGCGACTGCTCTCGTCGTCGCTCCTCGGAATCCGACCTGACCATTGCGCGCGCTACAGCGTCCCGTGCGCGCTCGGGTCCTCGATTTTCCCCAATCGATCTCCAGGTAGCATGATCAGAAGTGTTTCGCGACTGCTCTCGTCGTCGCTCCTCGGAATCCGACCTGACCATTGCGCGCGCTGCAGCGTCCCGTGCGCGCTCGGGTCCTCGATTTTCCCCAATCGATCTCCAGGTAACATGATCAGCAGTGTTTCGCGACTGCTCTCGTCGTCGCTCCTCGGAATCCGACCTGACCATTGCGCGCGCTGCAGCGTCCCGTGTGCGCTCGAGTCCTCGATTTTCCCCGATCGATCTCCAGGTAGCATGGTCAGCAGTATTTTGCACCTGCTTTCGTCGTCGCTCTTCGGAATTCGACCTCGCGCTTGCGAGCGCTGCAGCGTCCCGTAAGCGCTCGAGTCCTCGATTTTTCTCGATCGATCTCCAGGTAGTAAAATCAACAGTGTTTCGCGACTGCTCTCGTCGTCGCTCCTCGGAATCCGTCCTGACGATTGCGCGCATTGCAGCGTCCCGTGCGCTTTCGGGTCCTCGATTTTATCCTTGTCATCAGTGTTTCGCGACTGCTCTCGTCGTCGCTCGTCGGAAGCTGACCTGAATATTGCGCGCGCTGCAGCATCCCGTCCGCGCTCGGGTCCTCTATTTTCCTCGATCGATCTCCAGGTAGCATGATCAGCAGTATTTCGCAACTGCTCTCGTCGTCGCTCTTCGGAATCCGACCTGGCGCTTGCGTGCGCTGCAGTGTCCCGTTCGCGCTCGGGTCCTCGATTTTGCTCGATCGATCTCCATGTAGCATGGTCAGCAGTATTTTGCACCTGCTGTCATTGTCGCTCTTCCGAATTCGACCTGGCGCTTGCGTGCGCTTTAGCGTCCTTAGCGCGCTCTGGTTCTCGATTTTCCTCAATCGCTCTACAGGTAGCGCGATTGTCAGTGTTCCTCAATCGATCCAGCGATCGATTTTGTTCACTTCTTGTTCTCTGAGAGCGAGCAGCAAAATTTCGCAAGCGAGCTTCTTCTGCTACCTCCAAATTACTTGTACGGGCCAAGGCAATGTGCTGCGCATTACGGGTCCTTATCTGTGACGCATTTTGAGCATATTGGGATCGGCTTCGTCTAAGCGCAGCTTGGCGGCGCTGCTCTTGAGATAAAGAAGTTATGCGCCGCATTCTCTTTATTTTGCTGTTAAAAAATAATTGTATAAAAGTTAGAGGGTTATAATTTGTCAGAGATTTTCAAAATGTCTTTGTTCGGGGTTCTGGTAAATATTTATTGATGTTCATTGATGTTCCATTTAATTTCACCAGAAGAGACTTATGTGTTACGAATTTACGAATCCTGTTTTACTTTATAGAAATACTTACCAAAGGTAAAAAGTATAATAATACTTTATAATTTTGTTACACACTTTTTTCACTTTTCACCTTATACCTTTTGGTGGATTTTTAATCACTTTTCACCTTATACTTTTTTATGGGCTTATATTCACATTTCACCTAGTACTTTTTGGTGGATTTTCAATCACTTTTCACCTAATACTTTCGGTGTGCTTATATTAATTGAATATAAAACATACACACAACAATGTATACGTTGTCACTCGGCAACTGGTTTTCACAGACTAATCCGGGGATTAGGATTACGAGTCAATATATAGGTTTGAATCATACTTGCTATTAACCTCCATATAACCCTTTCGATGGCGTCAATGCCTGATTTCGTAGGTAAATTAGGTAAACCAAGTTGATTACTTAATTTAAGGATTGCGTAATAACTGCATTATTACCTGTTATCTAGCTTCGTGGCAACCTTGTTAAGGTTATTTTTGTAATCTAAAATAAGAAAAACGGGTATACCTAGGTATCCTACCTTATAACTTGGACACCTGTATCCATGTTATTCGTGTCCTAACACCACCCCATTCAGCAAAATATTATAGTCGTCAGATTTTTGTGTAAAATTAATTTCATAATTCTGACAAGTTAAAATATTCTATACCCAGAGTAAAAGAAAATACGATCAAAATCAACATAGCAAAATTAAAAATAAAATTATTTCATTGTTTCTCTGACCGTTTCTTTGACAGCTATATGTTAGAGTCTTCCGATTTTTATTAAATTTAAATATAATTTAAAATACAAAAAATGTTATTTCCATAGCATAATATATTAATATGTCAAGAAACACCGAAGCTATAATTTGTTTCATTTTATTTTTAAATTTTAAATTTTAAATTCAGAACTAATTAAAAAATGTTATTTCCAAGCGTAGGAGGTTATATGATTAAAAAAAAACACATAAGATATAATACAAATTGTTTTTCGATTATTCCTATGGGAGCTATAAGATATAGTTGTCCGATCCGACTGGTTCCGACTTATATACTACCTGCAAAAGAAAGAAGACTTTTGCGAAAGTTTCATACCGACAGCTTTAAAACTTAAAGACTAGTTTGCATAGAAACAGACAGACGGACATTGCTCGATCTAGTGATGCTGATCAAGAAACGTCTCCTTCACTGCGTTGCAAACTTCTGACTGTGTTATGGTTGTATATGGGCGTTAGAGTGGTCGTAGCACCCTCCTGAAGCAAACTTGCGCAGCGCAGGAAGCTCAAAAATTTGCATGCCAAGCCCCAACTTTCTAGCCCTTATAGTTTCCGAGATCTCAGCGTTCATACGGACAGACGGACATTGCTAGGTCGACTTGGCTAGTGATCTTGATCAAGAATATATATCCTTTATGGGGTCGGAATCGCATTACGTTCTTTCCTACGAATCTTGTATACCCAATAATACCCAAAAACCGATGTTCGCAAGCATTTTAATTTAATAATTGGACTTATCTTAAATATTTATGCTGAGACGAACTCTCAATGCAAGACGGCATTACTAAAAAAATAATTCATTTATTTAACCATTGCCGATGTCTTTGGAAGTTGACGTGTCGTCAATGTTTTTACAGTAATAAGTAAGATATTTTTAAATAAAAATGAGGTGGTTTGCCAGTAACATATATGCAAACCTCTTCAATCTATAAGTGTTGTACCAGTGCCAGGGCAAAGAGTTATGGAAAACCAATACAGGTAATTATATACAATAATTAATAAGATCTTTCTTCTGTACCTTGTGACATATCGTGCCGAGTATTTGTTAGGGTATGGTAACGAACTTTTTTTTCAAGAATTCTAATTGTTTTTGTGAAAAGAAGCAAATAATGTTACGGTACAACATCACACCCTCTAGTATTTTACGGCCCTGTTCCAGTTTCCACTTCCGAAAGATTCACACGAATTCGAATTTCCCAGACCTGTTCCAAGAGTCATTTCCGAAAGAACTGCGCGGATTCGAATTTCCCTCTGTTGGTATTCTGTAAGCTTGCGAAAAATTATCACAGAAACTTTCTCGCCAAGAATTTGGCTGGCGGATTTAAATTAGACAGCATGAACATTACTTGATTTAAAATACTTCGCGATTGCTTTATATGCAAAAAGATAAAAGATATTTTTTTTAATATTCGTTCATAATCTCATCATCACAATTTAAATTAATTGCATGTTTGATTTAATTATTATTCATAAATTTTTGTTTACACATCAAAACCCCGTATATTCTAACCTATGCAATTTTTGCAAATCCGCCGCACCTGTTAGGGTTAGGGTTCCCATGGTGCACAAAAAAAGAGAATTTTGTTGATATGAGATCTGAAAATTCTATATTTTGTTCGTGCTTTGGTAAGAAAGATTATTGATCCGAGATATTCAAAAAAATTTATTTGCTTAAAATACCTCTTAATTTAATGCTTTAATTCTGCAAAGTTATTTTTATTGACTATATTTTTTGGCGTCCTCGGCAACTCTTTTTCTTTAGAATTTTAAGGCACAAGAGTGAAAATTATACACTGCGATAAAGGCTGTCTTATTTTTACAAATATATTGCAATTTGTGTTTATCCCAACTATTGTTCATTGGATTTTATGCATTAGATGTATACACAACTAATTCGCATAGCTAAAAACCAGCATCGGGACAAAGTCGACCCTTTGACTGAAAAACGCATGCAAACTTTAGTCTTTTGTGATGAGACTGTTGCTGCAGTTAGCCTTTTTTATTTGACACCAAAAGGGAATTATCCTAAAAAAAAAATTAATTATTAAAGCGTATTTATTTAGTAGTTCGTTTAATACATTTTCATCACAAAAGTTGATTTCAGAACTTGAAGCGACGATCGTCACTAGATTTTTTCCTCGTTAAGAGTTGTTTTGTTTGTTCTTCTACCCCAAGGGAAATATTTCAGAGTTTTTAAATAAATTAAAAAAAACCGGGTGACTATATCATATAGCTG